GTTTCCGGCGGCGGCTGTGCATTAAACACACGTTTCAGCACGGTCGCTAGGTAACTCTCCCCGAGCTGCTGCCTCTTGCGGAGGAGCCATTGTGTAGCCATCCGTCGACATTCTCAGCACAGCGTCATATTAACGAACCTTAACTCTGATGCTCAGAGGGTTTTACAAGCAGTTAAAGGATCGGAAACACTGAAGTGGACCCTATAAGTTTTACTATGTTATAGATAGAATGTAAGCAGTAGTCACAGCAGTTGACTTTTTACTTTACTTGTTCAAAATTTTGTAATGCGATAACCCAAAGCCCAACTAAAAGTCATACATGATTTTCCTCAATGTTCAAATATTGTTGCTTAATTAGGTAATATCCATTGATCTTTTGGGTGATCTACTTAAAATGTTTGCTGGATTTTTTAGAAATCACCCTTGGGTGAACAAAGGTCCTTTAATTGGTCCACTGATGGACTGCTGACTGAACAAATGTTTTGGTTTTTTTTTACTAAATGATTATTACATGGATTTTACCAATTTTGTTTACATTACAAAAAGCTAAAATTGCATTTGTGTTCCTCAACAGATACTTGGCCATAGATGACTGCCGAAACCCGGGGTTGAACCAGGGACATTCAGGTCTTCAGTCTGACGCTCTCCCAACTGAGCTATTTCGGCTACCTGTAAGTATCTTGTACTTATTCGTTTCCACCATATACCAATATGTTTGATTAGAGCAGTGGTTCTCAAACTGTGGTACATGTACGTCACATAAATTGAACATTTTGTCCCACGTATGTAACGTCGAATGACAATTCGACATTACTTAATTGAAAATTAACCGTTTTTATGTACCTGGCTGTCTATGGGAAGTCTATCAGTGCAGCCCGGAAGTGAGAGGCCACTTCCGGGATAGGGCGGTAGCTGACAGGCTGAGCGGTGTGTCAATCAAACTGCTGACTAGCAGTTTGATTGACACTGCGAGTCAGTAGTTTGTTGACGCGTACACAGACACAATGGCGTCTGAAGTTGTCGACGCAGTTGTTTGTTTTGTTACCGTGAAGGCGCCCATACGAAGTATGCCTAAACTTAAAGGAAGATAGTTTTTGCTGAGACCGTTGGGTCGACATTTTGAACCGACTTTCTGCCATTGCTGTACAAACGGCTTTAACCGTCGGGCACGGTGGAGAATCCGACAGAGAACGACACGCATGCACGTGAGTCTCGCACAAGTACGCAACAGAAAACGTCAAAAAGTGTGCCGTCATTTTTCTGCAAACCAAATGACACACTGAGTTGGATAAAATTACTGCAGTAGAAGTTACCAGTGTTTACCATGCAGTACAGTATACACATTCATATCGGTCAACCAAACAAAATCTCATAGACGAACCAGGTGCGGAGAAAGGCTGTCGGCCTGCCACCTGCTGGATTGTGATGCAAAATCTGTTTGGAGGTGGTCAGGTATTTTTATTTTTTATTTTCATGTTTTAGTCACAGATGGCCAGAGGTGGTTAGAGTAGCTCAAGTAAAAGTAAAATTTAGAATAATATTATTCAAGCAGAAGTAAAGTTGTCATCCAATTAATTACTTGCGTAAGTGTAGAAAAGCACTAAGTGGGAAAAAAACTACAAAAAAAAGTACTGTGTAAATGTTGAGTAACATCTGGTTTTGTTTTTATTGAGGATTCAATCAGGTAGACAAAATTACAGAGAGGAGAATGAAATATTTAAAATAAAGGGAATTGATAAAAAACTTTAGATTGAAATGATGTAAATTCAAGTAATTCAATGTAAATTCAAATACTTCTATAAAAAAAATGAAAATCAGCGTAATAATACATAGAAAGTTTTATATTTACAAAATAACAGAAAATCCAAAATGTTTTTAGGTCAAACTTGCTGCAACATATTCCCTCAGGACCAGACTGCACCGCAAAGGCTACGTTTTATTGGTTAAACATTACTACTACACTGTTAAAAAATATCTCCCTGGTTCAACTTAAAATCACAAGTTTACCAGCTGCCTCAAAAATTTCAAGTTTATTGAAATCCTTATTTTAAGTTCTGTCAAGCTTTAAATTGCCTTCTATGAGTCATCATGACTGTACAGTTATTGTTGTTTCAACCAAGCTGTGTACGTTCAGAATAAAGCGAACTCGATTATGAGCACAAGTAACTGCTTAGAACGTTATTGTGATGCTTTTTTTTTTTTTTAGCAATTTAACAA